GTTCGTTAACGAACAGACATTTTTGCTTTGTGTAGGTTTTTACATTCTGTCAAAGTCAACATTTTACACCTATATATGTAAAGTAGTAATCTCTGTTATTTTGTTTTTTTGTTTGTTTGACCGATCATAACTCATGAACCCCTTGACCGATTGGTTTTTTTCGCGGGGAAACAATGTGAAACCACGGAAAATAAGTTTTAGCTTGGTTTAAAAATTCTAGGTTTAGTAACACTACTCTTTATTATGTTAATGCACAGCCCTAGGAGAATAAATATTCTCAAACCTAATACCCGAAAATACAATTTATACAAGGCGTGTAAAAACTAGGTTTAACACAATATATTGGACACAAGATCTGCATCCCCCCCTCATCTTAACTATACCCCCCCCCTTCATCTTAACAATACCCCCCTCCCTCTTTCTGCATTCTTTGCCTCCTCAACTTCTTACCCTCAAACCTGGCTTCCTCCCTCTTTACTTCCTTATCAACGCCCTCTGAAATATCTACACCTTTCAGAGACGACCGCACGGACTTTATTCAGTCTATTTTCTTATATTCGATAATGACATCTTGAAGCTTCAATCTTGTTTTTTGACCAAAAAATTGAGAATCATACGAGGTGTAAAACCGTCAGACCTAAGTGTCGATTTAGATGTTTTCTTTGTCCCAAGCAGTATTATATTTCGTATAACACAGTTTATAATAGTTTTTTGACATTCAGATTTACAGAGTTATTGAGGTATTTGTCTAGATTCCAATTTAAAAATATCTTTCAAATGTCAACTTAAAAAATACAAAGAAAAAATACCTAAATTGAAAAAAAAGCTCGGAGTCAAAAGATAGAGTTAAGAGATAAACTTATTATTAAAACACTCCTAAACTTCACATCTGATATAATACTCTCCCCCCGTCCCTTTCCTTCCCTTAGACCATCTATACTGTGTTCTTCTTCTTCTTCTTCTAAAAATCAAAGGTTTCGAGATTTTTCCATGCTTTAAAATACTGATTGATTAAGATGAAAACAGCCTTGGATATAAAAACTCAAAGGAACTGATTACTCTCCGCAAACTCAAATTTTGTCATTACAGTAACTTGTAACAATAACCTGAGATGAAATTTAAAGAATTTGAGCCGCGGTTTAAATTTGCCAAAACCCGGTTTAAATTAAGCGCCGGCTTACATCTTGAAACATTTGATACAATTTTAAGTGGAACCAACCATATTTAAGCCGCGGATTAAATTTAAACCGCCGTTCAAATTCTTTAAATTCGGCCACTGATGTCGTATTTAAAACTAGATAATCTAAACTCTTGAAATATAAAGGCTTTAAACAATCAGGTGACAAAAATATAGTAATTAGAAAATGAAAGTTTAAGGAGAGGAATCAGTTTCTTTGATACATAATCACCCCTTTTTTTAAAATTTGATTTTTAATAATGTTGTCGCTTCAAACAGATGATTTGTGATGAAATAGTTATTTTTTTTTCCTTTTTTAAATTAATATTGTAATACAGTAAAAACCTTAAAACTCTGTAATATGAAGACGACATTAAAGAAATAATAGCTATTCAAAGGCGTATATTANATATATATTTACTAATTACATTGACTACATTTATTCTGTAAAAAAAACTGGATTTATTTTAATCATTCAGCAGATATCATATATATACGTACATGTATATATGTTAATTTCACAATATTAAAAGAAAAAAAATGTCTTACTTTTTTATTTAATTCTTAATAATCTTGATCTTTAAACATTAAAAAATCGATTTTTCGGTAAAATCTATCTATGTTACTTTGCTAAAGTTAGTTGAGTAAAATTATCTGCACGAAAAAAAAGTTGTTTATATTTTTCCTCTTAATGGTAATCGAGGATATGGAGAATGGAGATCATGTTTCTAAACGGGGATAATTATGTCCCCAGCATTTTAGTGGTGGGGGGGGTAATTACCCAAAAGATTCTAGGGAGGGGGGTAATTACTCCCTGGATTCTAGGGGTAGGGGGGTACTTAATCCCAATAACCCCCCTTATATACGCCACTGTTGCTATTTTTTAAGTTTTATGGAAACCTTGGTGTTTTTGAAAACTTCTTCAGGTATTATTATCTGAATAAGCTTTTTTTTTAGAGCGCATTGTTTAGTAACAAAATTGTTATCGTGAAAGAGACGGGGTATCTTTTTAAATTTTAATGACTTAATTCCTAGCTACAACAATTACTAATTTGGAACCAGAACTGAAAATCATCATTTTAAAGAAAACGTTTCAACTTTAGAAATTATTAAATTAGGCTTTAATGGACCTCTCCGGGTCGTGGAAGATACAAAGTAATTTATCCCTCAAAAATCCCTCAAACTTGGGATGACTTGGAGTTTTAAAATGTTTAAACTTTTATTTAAAAAGTGCTGAGTCCTGTATATATCCTGTAATTAGCCAAGGTTGAGAGACTAAGTGAAAAAAGGAATTATATATTTTGTTTACGCCAAGTAATTCATAATCTCCGAACATCCTTATCATCAAACTTTAGGAAGAGAAGAGGGAAGAATATTGGATATGCTTCCAGATTAAGCAAATTAAATTTTATTATAGAAAAAAGAATTTAAGTATTATATCAATCATTTTATGTTCGTTAGTAAGTGAAAAGTATCTACATAAGGGTGACAATATATATTGCGTTACCCCCAAAAAGTTTAATGTTGAGACCATGTTTGACATATATGTAAAAGTTCTTTTTCAATGAATCCAATTTTAGGTTTACTAGGTTTATAAGGGTTACTAGGTGTAACCCCTGTCCCTACTGTACTAAACATGGAACACACAAATTGTGCAGTTTATACGAACCTATTTGACTTAATAAGTTGATTTTGAAGCTAAATGTAACTATTTTCTTCATAATAATATCAATACACATAAGACTGCTTAAATGTCGTCTTCCCATTTCACAAAGTCCACTGTAAAAAGAAGGTCCGGGGGGGGGATAATCGACAATTTTTTTTCTCTCTCTCCGCCCCTGATATATGTATGTATGCTAGGCTCTGGAGTATAAGAATTAAGCTGCCGCTAATCTTCTAATTCTCACTGTTTATTTAAGGAATGGTGGGGGGGGGGGGGGGGTGGACGGTTAGAATTTATGACTACCAGAGAAAAACTTGGAATAAATCCGTTCCAAAACCATCTTTGCACGATCCTCCCCCCCCCCTCTTTTACTTTTCTCTCCTTGTCACACAGTTCAACACCCATAAACTGAATCCAAAACGTAGGATCGCGAACTAGTTCAATGATCTGTGATGGTTACTTCGCACTTCAGGATCCCCCCCCCCCCCCCTCCTCGAACCTAATATCTGGGTAGGAAAGAAACCTGTGTAAATGCCAGTTTTGAGCTCTGAGTTATGCTCCGACGATCATATCTCTCCCTCCCCTAGGTAACCTTATATGAAGACGTATAAGTGTGGGTTTATTAAAGAGCCGAGACCAGGAGGAATATACTCGGTTTATGTACACAAAAAGGTATGTGGGGACTAGAGAAGGAGGAGCTTGCGCGTTTGAAGGAGGGGGGGGGGAGTGAGAATAGGTAAGGGATCTAATCTTCCTTTATGTTTCCTTATCAGAATACCCCCTACTGATGTACAGCAAATATTTCAAATTATATATAATACAATTTAAAGTTTATACACAAACCATGATTAAACTAATTTAACCAGTTCACTTTATAGAGGGGGTTATCACATTCCATTGTAGAATTGATACATTTAAATTATGTCCTATCCATTCCACCCTTCCTATCCTTCCTATCCATCCTATCCTTTTCACCCTTCCTATCCTTTCTATCATTCCTTTCCATCCTATCCATTTCACCCTTCCTATCCTTTCTATCCTTCCTTTCCATCCTATCCATTCCATCCTTCCTATCCTTTCTATCCTTCCTTTCCATCCTATCCATTCCACCCTTCCATCCTTTCTATCCATCCTACTTATTCCACCCTTCCTATCCTTTCTATCCTTCCTTTCCATCCTATCCATTCCACCCTTCCTATCCTTCCTATCCATCCTATCCTTTTCACCCTTCCTATTCTTTCTATCCTTCCTATCCATCCTATCCATTCCACCCTTCCTATCCTTTCTATCCATTCTATCCTTTCTATCCATTCTATCCTTTCTATCCATCCTATCCTTCCTTTCCATTCCACTCTTCCTATCCTTTTTATCCATTATATCCTTCCTATCCTTTCTATCCATTATATCTATCCATGCTATAAATTATATCCTTCTTATCCATCCAATTCGTCCTTTCCATCCTATCCTTCCTATCCTTTCTATCCATTCTATCCTTCCTATCCATTCCACCCTTCCTATCCTTTCTATTCATCCTATCCTTCCTATCCATTCCACCCTTCCCATCCTTTCTATCCATCCTATCCTTTCTATTCATCCTATCCTTCCTATCCTTTCTATCCATTCTATTCTTCCTATCCATTCTATCCTTCCTATCCTTTCTATCCATCCTATCCTTCCTATCGATTCCATCCTTCCTATCCTTTCTATCCATCCTTTCCTTCCTATTCATCCTATCCTTCCTGTCCATTCCACCCTTCCCATCCTTTCTATCCATCCTATCCTTTCTATTCATCCTATCCTTCCTATCCTTTCTATCCATCCTATTCTTCCTATCCATTCTATCCTTCCTATCCTTTCTATCCATTCTATTCTTCCTATCTATCCTATCCTTTCTATCCATCCTATTCTTCCTATCCATCCTACCCATCCTATCCTACCTATCTAGCTAACCTGTGACCCAAGGAACTTAATCCTTGTTTATATCTAGGCTAGGTGTGAACCAGTGCATGAATATCCACCCTCAGTTCTCCTTTAAAGCGGGGACATTTTAAACCCGGCCATCTAGACCAGGGATATTTTAAAACAAATAAAACTAAGATTATTCAAATTCTTTCTACAATCCTCTTTACAATCCTTTCTACAATCATCTCTACAATCCTTTCAACAATCCTTTCTACAATCCTTTCTACAATCTTTTCTACAATCCTTTCTACAATCCTCTCTACAATCGTTTCTACAATCATCTCTACAATCCTTTCTATAATCTTTTCTACAATCCTTTCTACAATCCTCTCTACAATCCTTTCTGCAATCCTTTCTACAATCCTCTCTACAATCCTCTCTACAATCCTCTCTACAATCCTTTCTATAATCCTTTCTACAATCCTCTCTACAATCCTTTCTACAATCATCTCTACAATCCTTTCTACAATCCTCTCTAGAATCCTTTCTATAATCCTTTCTACAATCATCTCTACAATCCTTTCTACAATCCTCTCTACAATCCTCTCTACAATCCTTTCTACAATCCTTTCTACAATCCTTTCTACAATCCTCTCTACAACCCTCTCTACAATCCTCCATAAAATCAACAAATGTTCAGGATTCAAAAGAAACTATGTCTAAAAAGATGGAGTAGTTTATTTGAAGTGCCTTGTCCAACAAAATTGGCGGATTTAATTTCAACTTTCCCGGGCTTTTAAAGCATGACCAGAACTATGCAAGTTATTTCTAAAGATCAACCAATTAAGTCAAAAATAATTATTTTATGAAAAATTCTCCATTTCTTAAATACATTGCATTCTTGGTTTTATATCTTGAAATGCGCTTAATGCTAGTGCATTGAATAGTTCCAAATAAAGGCTCTGCACTTGCTGACTTTAATGGGAAAGATCACCATTAGATGGCAGTAAAATGCATTTTCATGTTGTAAAAGCTACTCCACCAATAACTTTTTAATCTATTAGGCCCGCTAGTAAATATCTCTATATCTATACTGGATTACAAAAACTTGTAAAAATGGGAGTTTTCCACCAGAAGGGTTACTAAATTTCAGATCTATTTGAAATTTCACGAAGATTTAATTTTTCTTAAATTTTTAATAATTGTATACAAATTCCTTTAAAACACGTGGTTCTGAACAAGATGGGGAGGATTAGAAAAAAAGATTTTCTAAACATTTTCTTTCCATATTATCTATTTAATAAGACAAGACATTCGTATATATATATATATATGTTGCCTATAGCCGGCCAAACAGCTGGACCGAAGGCAATGAAATTTTTGTGGACACTCATGGGTGGCCGGGGGGTATTACAGGCTAAAAAAATTCAAAAAATTTTCTAAAAAATATTTTTAAATTTTTTTTTAAATTTTACACGGGCAACGCCGGGCCCTTCAGCTAGTATTAAATATAGAGCTATTATTCCATGGATAATAATGTTTGATGTAAATGCGCTTACCCTAATTCTGAAGCAGAGTTTTAATTAAATTTTTTTTTAAACTCTGCTGTTAAAAAGGCAAGAGAAATCGTAAATTTTCACGTTTTCAGTTTTTGCCATCTTAAAAATATATTTACAGCACTGACAAACCTGACCACATGTTAAAAAATTAGCTTTTGAAAATTCTGAAAAGACAAAATAAATAATGAACAAGTTTAATAGATTTGTTCACATTTTAAGAAACTGAGTTCTTGCCACACTTTGATTATAAAATCTCTTTATCTTTGCAACCAGGTGTTGTAGACTATTAATTTTATCATAAATTTGAAATATCAAAGGTTTACACCATTGTAAAACTAACTACAACCTCCAACGAAGAACATACTGTCTGTATTAGACTATTTTGATCTCGCATTCAAAATTCTTTAAAAATATCGTAAGAGACCTTATATACTTAAATATCAAAAATAGTACACGAAAAATCTACATTTTAAGGGTAAAATGAGTGCTAAAGTTAAGACTCAGTAGACTTGTAACCAGGAGTTCTAGTTCACCGTGTATTCTAATTCAATTAATGGAGACAAAAATCTTTTTAAAAATCTCTTCTAAAAACCATCAGCTCTCTGGACCAAATTTACAGAGTAGGCCCAAGCACAGGGGCTGACTATTAGAGCCTTTGTACCCCTCACCCTGCTAACTAATGTGAGGCCAATACAACTGTGTAACAGAAAGACGAGTGTTTGACTCCAGTGGGATTTGAAATAGTCCATGATGCAAATAAATCACTGCAATTGTACAATGTGCACGGACCCCTTTTATTAAGTAAGTTGATTTTCAAGCTTCTACTAAAACTATTATCTTTGAAACAACAATAAATATGAATATGTCTTAAATGTCGTCTTCCTATCCCCAAGTTTAATGGATACCTTAATTAAAATCTAACAAACAAAATGATTAAAAAACAATGTTTGTTAAACTATTTATGTTGTGTGTGGGTTTCTGTATGAGGGGCGAGGGTGTATGTGAGTCAAGAATAATGATAAAGAAAGATAAGGTTGAATATAAACCTTATCTTCAACCTTCCTTCATTAAATATATTCCAGACCTGTCAAACAAACAGTACTAGAGAACATACTACCCTGTATCCTCTCATTGGAAAATTGCTACTAAAAAAGTGCATTCTCTGGCTAGAACAGGGTTTGATATTGCTGTATTTTAGGTGCAAAAAGGTTAACCCCATACAAAATCTCTAAGATACATAAATTGAATTTGTTGTTTACTACTGTCTAATAAAAACCAACTAAATGAGAGTAAACTAATGTAAATTCTTTAAACAAAATACATTTTTTTCAGGAATATTAAAAAATCGTAATTCTTTTTTTAAAAAAATAGCTTACTTCATATCTATTGTTTTTAATTTAATTCAGGCATATCATTAGTCTTTTTTGAGGGTAACACCCATTGTTACTTAATTAATTGTTCAATTTACAAGATGCAATATGTTTTTTATGACTTACATTGAGGCAAAGATTAAAATGTGCATTTTAGGGCTGTAAGAGCTTAAAGATGGGGGATGGGAGGAAGGGAAGGAGAGGGAGGGAAAGGGAAGGTAGGGGAGAGGGGGGAAGGTATCGGAGAGAGAGGGAGGGGTGATGAATATTTGATTTTTGCTTTCCTAGGTTGTAATAGCACCTCTGTGTTACTGATAAGAAATGCACTAAGTGCTCTGTCATCGCTGCATCATTATGGTTAAGGTAAGGAATACCTTGAAAGAATACTGCAACAGATTTACCTACAGTTTAACCCAGAACTGCGGATACATTGAAGGAATTTATAAAATGTCGTCTTGACAATTTTTCAAGGGGTTTTATATCATTATAATAGCTGGTCAAACAGCTGGATCGAAATTTTTTGGAGACACTCATGGGTGGCCGGGGGTGTTATAGACGATTTGGTTTTTAGGGGGGATGGGACGTCTGCCATCCTGTGTATTTGTCTTCATTCACTATTAGTGAAAAAAAATGCATAGTGTAAAGCTCAAATCCCCTTCTAATTTTCCTGTTCAAAGTGTTCTTCTTCTTTCTTGTTTATCTTGTTTTTACACTGTTATTGGTTTTAGCTTTTTATTTTGTTAACACATGTTGCTTTATAAACATTTTCCATGATATTTTCTTGGGGTGGGGAGGGGGGGGGGCTGCGCGCCTATCTGCAGATTCTAAAATTGTATATAGGTTTAGAAAACAACATTCTATAAATTTGTTAGAATACTCCAAAGTTTTGGGTTGAACTAAACAAAGTATGAGACTTGACTTCAAGTGACCCTCATTTATATAAAGAGTGGCATCCTAGTGGCATGTAACTGTCCGATTTGCAACGGCCTAACCTTCAAGCCTCTGTAATCTGAGAATTCATAAGTAAGATATATGTAGTTCATTTAAATTTAAACTATAAAAAAGGGATATCTCATTCATCCTTGAACAGACAAAGGATTAAAGGGTATCGTTGTGAGTCAGACATGCCACCAAAATTTACATCTACATTCCCAATAATGATGACCTGAGTTCTTCAGATATCTCAGATATCAAGATTTGGTTTATTTTGCTCTTCTTCTGCCTTGAATCAATTTTTATGGTCAACCGTGTGATTTGCATAGTAAGAACCAAGTGTATAGAAGCAGGGAACCATTTATGTAACTTAAAAGACTAATGTCTATGTGTGTACAAACGAACTCAGTTAAAAAATTCAAGAATATCATCATTAACTTTTTTGCACTACTATCAGTTAATAATTCTTGACAATCTTTAAACAACATTAAAAAATCTATTTAGGAGGTAGTTAAATACATTCCAGGGGACAAGGAAAATGGAAAACTTGAGAAAGTTCTTCACGTTGGAAATAAGATTGAGCTTTCCAGGTTTACATTCATTCTCTTATACTTTTTATGCACCAAACCCAACCAAGGTTTGATCCCTATGTACATAGTATCATATAAGTTCATTGCTCCCAGTCGGAGAAATGATGCACATAACAAATGTAATCTAAGAATAAAGCCAAACAATCTAGATCCAGTCCCAAAAGATGTTGAACTCCAAGTAAGTTTTCAGCCTTAAATACATTACAGTCAACCCTTTTTTATCTATAGATAGTAAGTCAAACGGCATTATCTTGCCGGCATAGAAAGCAGATCTTGGGCAATCTTATCCAAGGAGTTCCATAGGGGAGTCAGTTAGTAAGAAGCATCTGATCAGAAGAGTCGAATGGAAATATATTCGCCCCAAGCAAATGTCGCGTATATTTAGATCAACTTTGGTTGGTCCAACAATCCTTTGTATCGTTATAATGTAAATATAGTGTGTGTGCAACCATGCTTTGTTATTCCACTCAATCTTGGCTTTTTAATACTGAATTCTTTTCAAGTCTATAAAAGCATTATTATTATTATTATTACTATTATTATTATTAATATTATTATTACTATTATTATATACAATGTTATAACAATGTTAATAGACCCTTTTCACTCTTAAATTGTGCTTTGCTAAGTTACTAGTAAATATATTTGCTTTGTAACAACATCAAAACGCTTTAGTATTGCTGTAAAGTCGTCTTTCTATTTCATTGTTTTCTGGTTATCACTGTATTATTATAATTACTATTATTAATATTATTATTATTATTATATATGATATTATTACTATAATTATTATCATCAATATTATTGTTATTATTTGAATCTTTGAACCTTTTCTGAAAATTTCTTTATAGATTTCCAATTTTACTCCGGGATTGAACCTAAATCCTTCAATTGAAATTTTACGCTGTGGATTTTAGTTTCAGTCAATGTAGCTTTCTCAACCAAAAGTTGCAACTCTGTTTGCATATCTATTATCAGTGCAAATTATTATAATCATCATGATTTAAACATTAAAGGCTAAGTCTGATGTTGTCAGCCCTATCCTTGCTGTTGGCTGTTGTATTCTTCTCCCTCCTCCTAGGATGGTTGTGGGGTGTACCCAACCTAGTGGATAAACATCAGCAGGTAGTTGTTGTTGTATTCTCCCTCCTGGGATGGTTGTGGGGTGTACCCAACCTAGTGGATAAACATCAGCAGGTAATTGTTGTTGTATTCTCCCTTCTGGGATGGCTGTAGGGTGTACCAACCTAGTGGATAAACATCAGCAGGTAGTTGTTGTTGTATTCTTCCTCCTCATAAGATGGCTGTAGGGTGTACCAACCTAGTGGATAAACATCAGCAGGTAGTTGTTGTTGTATTCTCCCTCCTCATAAGATGGCTGTAGGGTGCAACAACCTAGTGGATAAACATCAGCAGGTAGTTGTTGTTGTATTCTCCCTTCTGGGATGGGTGTAGGGTGTACCAACCTAGTGGATAAACATCAGCAGGTAGTTGTTGTTGTATTCTCCCTCCTCATGGGATGGTTGTGGGGTGTACCCAACCTAGTAGATAAACATCAGCAGGTAGTTGTTGCTGTGTTGATAGTCAAAATTCTCAAAAATTATAATTTTGATGTGAATCAGCAAATCAGCAAATCACTAAATGTTATTTATCCAGGAGGTTGAAAGGTTGGAGCATCTGATTGAAAAACAGGATATTATTATTCAATCTCTGATGGGGAATCAGGAAAAAGGTGAAGGAAATGTAATATTTTAATGAAAAATACAGATATTACAGGGTTACCAACAAGTATGAAACCAGACATTAACAAGGACCAGGAATTAACTGTATAAATATTAAATTATTAATGATTTTATCTTGAATTTGATCTATTTTCAAGCTTCTCAAGGTTTTTCCGTTTTCCTTTGTGGATTTCAAAATACTAAGAGAACCCGAAATGTGAGTTACCACAAAAAGATCGTCGTTTATCTCTGGATGGTTAAGGTTGAAATTTTATCTCATTGGTCAAATTTAGAAACTTTGACCAATTAGAGACGGACGGACGGACGGTTGATTTAACTCTTTATTCATAATATTAAAGTTCTTTTTGATATAAAGCAATAGTTACATAAAGAGAGTGTTCAATAAAAGTAATGTTAGATAATCTTTAAATCAGATTTAATAATAGTATTGATATATTGATAATGCCAAAGTTCGTGAACTCTTCTTTTCAAAACTTTATTTAAGATGGATCCTTGGTAGTCCCTGAAAAGCTTGGTTCTGTTGAAGATGAGTTTGATGTTAGAAGTTGTCTCCAGGACCCATCTTCAGGTCCCTGTACTACTCTCAGTATTCAGAGGTAATAACAAATACTTGGGGTATTATTTTTGCGCTATAACTAAAAAATGGATTTCAATTTAGCAGAAAAAAAATAAAGTGTAGTTTATAAAAAACCATTTTTCTAAATTTTTAAAACTTATATAAAAAAAATATTATTTATTTTAAACCACGAGTAAAATAATCTAACCTGTTTTTAACCCAAGTTAATATTATTAGTAATAACTCAGTTTCAAAAGTTTTCTTCTGAAAAATCAAATATAAAGGAATTGAGTTTTTGCCACAAACTCTGATTTTCTAATTTCAATATCGTTGCAACCCAATGTCGCAGATCTTTAATATTTCAAACTATGAATGCTATTAGGTCAAATAATGTAAGTTTGAAATATCAACCATAAGGTTGCAAAGATATAGTTTTTACAAAAACTGAATTTGTGGCAAAGACACAATTCCTTTGAAAAGCTCATTTCTGATGCTTTTCACTCATTAATGATTTCAGGTGGTTCTTTGACCGGAAAGCTGGTCGGTGCAAACAGTTCTCATTCGGTGGATGTGAAGGGAATCAGAATAATTTTATTACAGCCAGGGACTGTGAGGAAAAATGCAGGTTGGAGAATCAATTGTCATCAAATGTAGATTTATGCTTTTTGTTGCAAAGATTTTAATTTTTAATTATCATAATCAACTCTATTTATTAAAAAAATCTAGAATTAAAAGATTTCCGTTTAGTGGTTTCAAGAAAGATGAGGGTTTAGATTTAATTTCTAAGGTAAGTCATATTTTTACATATTTCTACATATGTCTACATTTATTTCTCAGATTAAAAAGGTTGCATTTTTAACATTATTATTATAATTATGAATTCTTGCAATGTTGAAAACTTAATGCCGATAAGAATGCTAATATTTTGTAACATACTGAGATGAAAGTTTTGCACAATTCTGAGAAAAAAAATATTTTGAAGAAAGAATATTGCAAACGAGGTTTTCATTTTAAATTGTATTTTTGGGGTCAATAGAAGATAGTTTACTTTAAATTCTTTTGAACTTTTAAGAAATCTTTATCTGTAAATCAATAATGTGGGTTCTGGAAGTTATCATCGTTTTCATGCGCAGCATTCAAAGCGTTTAATTCCGAAATTTTTTACATTGTTTCTAAAGCAAAAATGCGCTCGTCCCTTTACAAAGAAACCATTGTAAAAAGCTAACAAATTTTAAATAGAATATAATGGAATAACTCTTGATCAGACAAAGCAAGGATTTAATGATAGGAAAGTTATTTCAGAGGTGTACGCATCTTTTGTACTGCATGCAATGTACTGTCACTGGGCGGTAATGTAAACACAAGACAGATGTCGAAGCCTGGACATGGGATCCATCTTTCACATAAATAATCAATGAAATATTCTGGTCTATAGAAAACTATTATGTGAATTGTCAAAGTTATCAAAATTCAATGCTTTTAACCTCCTCGGATACCAGACGAACACATGAGGCATCTATTCTTGTTTACAAATTCCGCCCAGAGAGAACTGATTTGAATATGTACGCAGAGTATACGCAAATGCAATTAACTTTCATTGCATTACATTTTTGAGACAAAGTATTTCAGGGTAACGTTATGACCCTAACATGGACAGTAACTTGAAATTACGTTTACATTAATATTTCATCATATTTTTCTTCATGTAGGCCGATATTAAATCTGTGGCGGGAGGCGAAATATTCTCAAATAGTTTAGGAATGTTTTAAGATAAATAAATGAAAAAAGGGTAATCGTTGTTTTGAACAATCACATTTGTCTGCAATAAGAACATATCTCGACATTACATTCTTCAGATGAAAAACCTACACATTGTTTCCTGGAACCCGCAGCTGGACCATGCAGGTTTACATATTGTCATGGAACAACGTTCATGCATACTGTTGATTAATAAACATCGTTTTAAAAACAGTACAAAGGAATTGGACTTTTGCCACAAACTCTGATTTAATTCCTATATCTTTGTATGCTGATCTCTAAGAACTTTTATGGTAGAAATGTCTAGGTTACACCATCAGGTTGAAAAGATATAGGGATATGAAAATATAGTTTGTGTCAAAAACTCATTTTCTTGATCACATATAGCAATTTTAAGATAGTTTTTTAATGTGAAAGGCACAAACATTTCACAGAGAATGTGACTTTATTATATAGAAATTCAACTGGGTTAATATTTATGTTTAGAAGTCAGGTGTCAAGGTTCTACTGGGATAATATCTATGTTTAGAGGTCAGGTGTCAAGGTTCTACTGGGATAATATCTATGTTTAGAGGTCAGGTGTCAAGGTTATACTTGGATAATATCTTTGTTTAGAGGCCAGGTGTCAAGGTTATACTGGGATAATATCCATGTTTAGAGGCCAAGTGTCAAGGTTCTACTGGGATAATATCTATGTTTAGAGGTCAGGTGTCAAGGTTCTACTGGGATAATATCTATGTTTAGAGGCCAGGTGTCAAGGTTTTTCTTGGATAATATCTATGTTTGGAGGCCAGGTGTCAAGGTTCTACTGGGATAATATCTATGTTTAGAGGTCAGGTGTCAAGGTTCTACTGGGATGAGGAGAAAATGACCTGCTCCAAGTTCTTCTATGGAGGATGTGCCGGGAACAAGAACAACTTTATCACAGAGCAGGACTGCAGGAACACATGCTGGATACAGGTACAGTAGATTTATTATACGTCCAGGATTCAGGTTTAGTAGATGAAGGAAACAACCTTGATACAGGTTTAGTCAAGAATTTATTAAAGGTCGCCTTGCCAGTTTAATACTATTTTCCATAAATCTCAGTAATTGAAAAAAATAGCCATGGATATGGGGGAACAGTTTTAAAAAGCTTCATATAATCATTTAATTAAAAAATTAAATATCGCAGCATTCCATTATCAGAAAGATAAGACTATGACATTTTATAAATTCTTCTGGTGTCTCTTTATATTTGAACTTAACTGTAGATATCGGAGACATCCTGAATATAGGATTAGTACGATAAGTAGGTTAAGTACAGGAAGAGATTCATGAGAAGGATGACAAGAATGGAAAGAGAGAAAAGAATGAGAAGAATGAGTAAAGGTAAGAAGGATGAGAAGGGTGGAAAGGATGAGAAAGATGAGTACAAGATGAGAAGGGTGAGTAAAGAATGAGAAGGATGAAAAGGATGGAAAGGATGAACAAAATGAGAAGGATGAGTAAAGGATGAAAAGGTTGAGGGGGAAAACAAGGGTGAGTACAGAATGAAGAGGATGAAAAGGATGGAAAGGATGAAAAGAATGAGAAAGATGAGTAAAGGATGAAAAGAATGAGAAGGATGAGTAAAGGATGAAAAGTTGAGAGGGATAAGAAGGGTGATTACAGAATGAGAAGGATGAAAAGGATGAGAGGGATAAAAAGGGTGATTACAGAATAAGGAGGATGAAAAGGATGGAAAGGATGAGTAAAGGATGAAAAGGATGAGAGAGATAAGAAGGGCGGAAAGGATGAAAAAGATAAGCACATGATGAAAAGGGCGAAAAAGATGAGAAAGATGAGAATGATGAGATGTATGAGAAGAAAGGGAAGGAAAAGAACAGTAAATATGCCCTCAGATGAATATTTTCAATTCGAAACGTCTGAAATTTGTATGTAAGTTTCAGGCTCAGTCTTAACTTTTCCTTATCCTATACAGTTGTGGATGGTTTTCAGATAAGGATAAGTGTAAACTAGAACCAAACTCAGTCTTAAATCTTCATTATCCTAGACTAGTTGTGGATGGTTCTCAGATAAGGATTGTTTCGCTACTTAGCGATTTCCCTAAAGA